TCTCTCTCTCTCTCTCTCTCTCTCTCTCTCTCTCTCTCTCTCTCTCTCTCTCTCTCTCTCTCTCTCTCTCTCTGTGTGTCTGTCTGTCTGTCTGTGAGATTGCCAAGGGTTCTGACAACTAGTCCTGACCCTAGAACAGCCGCATACGAGTTGAAAAAAACGATGCGGGGTTAATAGTACTTAGTACCAATGGTGGACATCACCGACGGGCATAGCTCCATTGGTACACCCTTGAACTGTTGAAATAGAGACCTGAGTTCGAATCCAGATCAAACAAGAAGAATGAAATAATATTCTTCTCAATAACTTGGGGTTAGTCAGTTCATTGATGATATCTCAAGGCCGTTGCCCGTCTTTCTTCTGAACAGAAAAGCAATGATGATATGCATTTGATACATGACAAGGGTCCGGAACCTGGATCAGGAAGTATGAAATAGGATCTTCCCACTAAAGAAGGGCACAGGAAGAAGAGCCTTAGAAAGGTCTGAAGTTTAGAAGACTGATAAAAATCTTCAAATAACCAAAACTTGAAAAAAAAGACTGAAAAAGGTTCAAATTCCAACATCTCCCTAGACGTGTAACAGGTACGCAGGCTCAGAGGATAACAAGGGTGGGGTTTCTCTCTCCCCACCTCTGGTTGTGCACACCTTGCAATGCTCTGGGGTGAGGAAGACCTTGGAAAGATTAGCCCGCGTTGAGCTCCCGAATCTATAAATCTCTGGAGACCGGAGTCTTGACTCAATCTGGCCATGAGAAGCAGAGCAATCAATCATAGGTCAGAAACAGCAACAACGCATCTGATCATCATCGACATCATTTACCTCATCGATCACCATCACCTTGTTCTGGTTCTCCATTATTATCATTCTAAAATTTATCACTACCATGTTCTTCTTGATCGTCATCCTCATGATCGCCGCCACTGTTGTCATCATCAGCGTCATCAGCATCATCAGCATCACATAAGATCATCCCAGCATAAGCAGAGCAAAGTAGGAGTGCTGCACTTTGAAACTCGGGACAAAAGCTCCAAGGTGGCAGCAATGTTTCACACCAACCATATACTTACAACAAAACCCAAGGGTCATTTTAACCAAACTTGCCACCAATTCATAGAGTGGAGATCATACTGACTACTTGAAAGAAGAAAAATTTGAAAAAAAAACTTTACAAACCTATAAAACAGCAAGGCAAAAATGTCTTTTTATGCAAAATTCGCTCATTTCAGTTTTCAGGATTTTCAGGATTTTGAGGGCTAGCCAAAACAGTCAACTCCAAGACCCCAACAAACACCAAACTTGACACACACAAGCCTTGACCAAAAATAAAACAGGGGAAAAAAAAAAAAATCAGAAAAAAGTTCAAAAAACTAAAAAAAATGATCTCAGATGCACTTTTCAGTGTGGGTCCCTGTTAACCGCTTGTGTTTACTCGGACGCGAAACACACATGTGAAAACAATGGCGTCTTGGTGTCTCCTACCTGAGGTCCAAGTGATGATGGCGCATTGTATGCTCCCGGTCCTGGAACCGTGTAAAGAGATCTCCCAAACTGCAAAACCAACCACATCCAATACATTTCAAGAATACAGAGCAGCATCATGAATCTCGCATTACGGACGAATTTCAGAAGTTGGTTTCACTTATTGACACCTTTACAATGGGACTGCTAAACTGCCTGACCAGTCGTGTTAAAACACCAGTACTTGGCCCCACCCAAGTTGAGAATTGTGATTGAGCCTCTGCTAAAAATTTCGGAGGCTCAATAAAAAGAGGGTTGGTGTCCTTGGAAAAAAAAAAAAAGATCGGACGCTCGGGACAGGGCCTCCGAAGGGCGGGTGGAAAAGAAAATAGTCCCGTGCCTTTGGGTGGGACAAGGCCTTAGCACCGAACAAAAACAAAAAAAATCCGCCCGTCCCCAGGCGGGCCCTGTCTCCTGAGTCCCCGAACTTTTCTGAGAGAGGCTCATTCGTGATTCTCCAGATGTACTGGTGGCGTTTAACAGGGGGAAGATATCAAAGCCTTATTCAGGCTTATTGTCCTGACTCCGTTCTATTCTGGGACCATCCATTACTGCTTGTTTGGAACTTTGGAATCATTGCGAAGTATAAAGTACTATAAACACTATAGCAAGTTATAGTAACTATTTTTATATTGTCACATATCTATGAAAAAAAAAAGCGCACTTTGTGAAACAAGCGGTAAAAATACACAAGACAAACATGAAGAGCACACTGGAACCGCCCTTCGAAGGGCCTTCCTGCCTTAAAGGGGGAGGAGTGTGTTTGAGTACTCATAATTCTTTTCTGACTTGCCGGTGGAATAGGAACTGGACTGATGCTCCCCAGAATGGATGTGGAGCCAGAACCTGAAGTTTTTTTTTTTTTAAGAGAAAAAAGAAAAAAAAAAGAGCCACTGAAACCATTCATTTTTCTCATTCTTCTTTTGACTCCCCCTTCACTGTGCGCCTCACAAACAAGGCTCGCCACGTTGATGCAGTCGAGCACGAGCTGCCCGCCTCCTCATGTGGCATAACGACCCATTTCTACGCTGTGAGAAAGCGGCAGAGTAAAGGGTGAGGGGATAAACACAGAGAAGAGAGAGACTGAGAGAAGACGAAACAAAGAACGACACGGGGAAAGTAAGGGAAAGTGAGAAGTGTGGAATGAAGATGAAAGCAAAGGACAGGTTAAGAAAAGGCTCGAGAATCAGTCCGTCCTTGACGACAAAGAGGACATACATTGTAAGGATGAGGTGGATGAACACATGGACGACCGCCTAGCTGAGCATTCTCAGTACAACAATTGCCACGACGGCTGGCATTGAGCATGCCCACCATACACTCCCAACAAATGGCATGTCAATTGCAGGCCCAACACGAAGGAAGAACAGTCACAACCAAAGACCGTGCATTCACCATAGCGCCCATGGCTGCAAAATGGACATATAGTGCCCGGATGCAGAGTGTGCCTGCAGTCAGGAACGGAGGCCAGTCCTCCACACACATGGCTGCAGAAACAATGCCATTGTCGTGACTGTGACAGAGACGATTACGGCTACAGCTGAGAGTAACAGTGTTTGTAGGTCTGCAAAGGAGATATATAGAATGGTTGCCAATGACTGCTTCATCTTCTCATCACTCATAAAGCTCCATGTCCCATACTTGAAGGGACAGGAGGGCCTATATAGTCCAGGTTCAACCACTGGGGTCCAAGCTTGGGACCTTCTACAAACAAGGCAGACCACTTAATGCGTTTATGTTATTTTCGGGGACAGAAGGTTGTACGGATAATCAAGTAGAGGAAGCCTACAGTCTTCCCCTGAACAAAAAGCACATATGTACTATTCAACTGTCTCTGAAAAATCGATTTCTCAAAGTCGCCCCCTGAAATCCAAATAGTACGCGCGTATGTTCTAGTCAAATAGAACACCGCTTGCCTGCCTGCCGTGTCGCGCTCGTTTCCAGGTGCAGGCCCTGCAGTATTCTGCCCTCTCTCTCTCTCTCTCTCTCTCTCTCTCTCTCTCTCTCTCTCTCTCTCTCTCTCTCTCTCTCTCTCTCTCTCTCTCTTNTCTCTCTCTCTCTCTCTCTCTCTCTCTCTCTCTCTCTCTCTCTCTCTCTCTCTCTCTCTCTCTCTCTCTCTCTCTTACCTGACAGTCCTGTTTGTGGGAAGACTGGAGATACCTGTACGAGGCACATACTTTCTTTTTTGGGGCCATATTTTTGGAAGTTGATACCCTATATTCGTAGCATAATGCACGTACGTTGTATACGAATACAACGCACCCCGTGCGTTCTATTCGTACATAACGCACGTGCGTTTTGTTCGGGGGAAGACTGTAGGCTACCAGTTGTCCGATGGCAGGACGTCCTGGCCGGACAGTCAGGGCAGGGGGGGGAGGGGAGACGTTCGGGCCCCGACAAGTCCATTTTCAGCAGTTTAAAGCACGGAAAATACTTCAATAAAGGGGGGGAAATCGGGGGCGTCTTTAATTTTATTTTTTATTTTAAATTTGATAAAGAATCTTGATGTGATCTCAATGAAAAAGTTTTTCAGTTTATTTTTCTGCATAACATAGTTCTTTTTCGGTTTTTCTTTTTTTTTGTGTTCGGGCTCGGACAGACTGCCCTGGGAGGACGTCCGGCTGTGCGACCGGACAACCCCCGGACGGTCAGGGGGGGTCCCGGGCGTCCGACCCGGTAACATAGGAGTAAGCCCAGGTTAACCAGTTTATATTATTTTTGGGGACAGAAAGTTGTACGGATAATCAAGTAGAGTAAGCCTCTGCAGGTTGGAACCTTGGGACCCTGGGACAAATTGACATCCATAACACGGAGACCAGAATCACCATTAATCGAAGGTGTACAATGATTTAGCAAACCAATGCCTTCATCCACTCAGCCACACCCCCTGGGAAAAAATGGGATTTGAGCCTGAGACTTCTGGCATGAGGGATGAATTCATTCGGGAGAGTGGCCGTGTGCCCAAAAGCGATTACAACATCGAGTGAACAACGTGGTAAGACGGACCTCAGCATCAGTAGTGACCGACTCAGCGTCAGTCGTGACCCACAAAGCTGCCCCTTCGCTGTTTGGTAGGGCAAGGTTGCCACCGAAGACTTGGAAAGCTGGTGTGGACTCTGGATAATCGCATATAAATTAGGGCAAGCTTCAAAAATACCACGTCGCAGTAGTTTCACAGCAAAAATATTGGCGGGGCCCAAGTTTTGTTGCAAAAATAATAAAATATATCTTTCGTCGCAACTTCAGAGGTCCAGCCGGTAGTTTCACAGCACAAATATTTGCAGGCGGGGTCCCACTTTCCTTGCAAAAATATATCTTTTTTTTTCGGACCCGTAGAGCATTTCTGCTGCGAAACTTCGAAGACGCACTATTTCTGCAATTACCCCTATAAATTATTACAAATTTACAAAAGGGGTCTATGACTCTGGGCCCCGGTGAAACAATTATTGCTGTAAAGCCTCAACAACTGCATCTCAGACACATCCACAAATGGTTCAATGGACAAATTTTTATTTCAGCGTAATTACCGGGTTTTTTTTTTTGGGTCCTGTGCTGCATATCCATTCTGGGGAGCGGCAGTCCGGTTCCGATTCCCCCGGCAAGTCGAAATGACAGGATTACATCATTGCACACACACATGCCCCCTTCCGTCTGACAGACGGGTCCCTGAGCAGCATTGACTACTCCTTTTTACTGGAGGATTGACTGTCAGCTTGCCTTTCCCTGTATACCCTCTCAGGGCCTAGTTGCACTACTGGCCATCCGCCGCAATTCATGGCGGATGGGTGGAGAGTGAAAAAAATGAGAATCGTGTCGAACTGGATGCCTGGTTGCACTTACTCGCCACAATATTTCTTCTACAGAAAAGTTAAAAACAAAAAAAAAAACAAAAAAAAAAAAAACAATTGTCTCCCTGATCTCGACTCGTGAAGCCGTGCACTCTCCAGAAAGTTGTTTTGTGGAGAGGTCCGAGGACCACCCTCCACAAACCGCCGTGCACAGACTGGGAAACCGAAAACACTCGCCACAACTTGTGTCCACAGTGTGGCGAGCAGTCTGACATATTTTTCATTCGCCAAGTTTGGTGAGTGAGTGCAACGAGGCACCTACTCGCCAAACTTGGCGTATGGAGAGTATTGCAACCAGGCCCTCGGGTTCCTCTGTGGCAAACCTGCCAGCTAAAAACATTAATGCAAGGAAAATAGAGATCAGCAGATAACGTAGCCCTGAACCGCCTTATGTGGATTTGAAAACTTGCTGTTCGCACCGCAGAATTTCAGCGTAATTTCTTTCTCTATGCTTGTTTTTATAACTTTTTATTCTTATTTATTATGGGGGGGCTCAGGACCAATCAGCAACGGGAAAGAAACATTGTTCACAACCTTTTTTGTTTTTGTTTTTTCAAAAATAAACATCCAGCACAACTCACTATCGCAGAGTGGGATTATGCGTGAATGTTGAAACCATAAAACGTCAAGGGACGGACCAAAACGAAACTTCTTCACTGTTCCATGCCAGCTTTGTCCTCCGGTTTGGGAATTCACAAACAGGTGAAAAGACCAAGAGAGTTGAAGAGACTCGTATTGGGACCACAATGGGCCCAATGATCACATCTCACCAATGAAGTTCAGATAAACACAAAGTGTCCGAAGACACGGGCACACAGCCACTCCGCTCTGATCCAGCAACAGCAGGGGATAGAGCCAAGTTTTGGAGGTTGAGATTTCAGTTCACCGATTGCGACATCTGGGGTAGAGACCACAGAAACAGTTTTTTTGTTTTTTCTTATTTTTCAAGTCTTTTTTTTTTTTTTTTTTTTTTTTAAGCCCAGGTTGTTGTAGAGGCGGGATACTAGACGAATGGGAGTTATCCACAGCACTCAGCCACTTGATTGTCCATCTGAACCCCTCTGAAGACCCCACCCACCCTTCCTCATATCATTTTTTTACCCTGGCGCACCCCTACCCCCCCTGTCCTACCCTAGTGTTAACCACCCGGGACCATCACCCATTGCCATATATTGGCAGGGTGACCTTTGACCAGACAACGGTTGCAGGTACCCGGTCTAGGCAGAGATACCTACCCCCCTGCTCAGCCCTGGTTGAAGCGGACGCCGTGCAAGCCCAATTGCACGGGGACTTCGGGAGCTAGGTATGAACTTGCTACTACAGATCTTCATGAGGGTGCACAGTATTCTATCATTGTATTGCTTGAATGTATATGGACAGTGTGTGTTGGTAGTCTATCATATTGAAGATGGGGAGTCGGGGGATCCTCTGTTCCTGCTATAGCGTACTAGGAGGATACGACCCTCTGTTCCTACTATAGCGTACTAGGAGGATACCCAACCCCTAAGTCGTGAATTATAGACTGTTGGCAGTGTGTGTTGATAGTCTATCATGTTGAAGATAGAGAGTCGGGG